AAATTTGGTTTTGCGCATGCGCAGTGCCAACTTTTTTATTTATGGAAGAATTTAAACTAAATTTGATACATAGGCACTTGGGATAAAGGAAAATCAAACGCCAATTTCAAAATTTGGTTTTGCGCATGCGCAGTGCAAACTTTTTTATTTATGGAAGAATTTAAACGAAATTTGATACATAGGCACTTGGGATAAAGGAAAATCAAACGCCAATTTCAAAATTTGTTTTTGCGCATGCGCAGTGCCAACTTTTTTATTTATGGAAGAATTTAAACGAAATTTGATACATAAGCACTTCGAATAAAGGAAAATCAAACGCCAGTTTCAAAATTTGGCTTTGCGCATGCGCAGTGCCAACTTTTTTATTTATGGAAGAATTTAAAGGAAATGTGATACATAGGCACTTGGAATAAAGGAAAATCTAGCGCCAGTTTCAAAATTTTATTTTGCGCATGCGCAGTGCCAACTTTTTTTTATCTATGGAAGCATTTAAGTGAAATTTGATATTTAGGCGCTTGGAACAAAGGAAAATCTAACATTAGTTTCAAAATTTAGGTTTGCGCATGCGCAGTTCCAACTTTCTTATTTAGAAAAACATTGAAATGAAATTCTTCTCATAAACTGAAATTGAAGTAGCACGTCAAAAATGGATTGCCCATGTGCAACGCTATCTTTCATATTTGTGGCAGGATTTTTACGATTTTAACAGAAGTTGCATCTTACAAATGGGAAATGAATGCAAGTGGAAATGCGCTTTATGTAAATCGTTTACGATTACTTTTTAACTTGTTAAAGCTTGGCGTGTTTTAATCACCTTTTTACGCACGCTCAGGCGTGTTATAAACAGCGATTCTGATGCAGGTTTAATAAAAAATTGATTATAGTGCTCACAGAGAAGCGAAAATGCGGCCATGTGCATGGTGCAATATTGTACCGTGTATCAAATACGAGGTACTTTCTTTTACTATGTCTATATTTTATTTTCAAGTTTAGGTACACCCAGTGGAGGATTTAAATTTTTTGCGCCCCTAGGCACACCGAAAGATATGCGCCCCAAAATAATCTTTAAATTGCAATAAATTTTAAAATAAAAATCAAATTATAACATGAAATTTTTAAAACTAATATGAAAAGAAACTATCTACCAATTCCAATTTATTTCATAATTTTGTAATAATCTTATTAATTATTAACTCGTTAGGGGACTTATTTTAAAACTTAAAATGTTACCTAAAATAAATATAGTGCAAAAAATGCCGCCCCCTAAAGCTGCCGCCCCTAGGAAAGTGCCTAGTGTGCCTATATGTGAATCCGCCACTGGGTACACCCGTTGAAATATAAGGAAAAGCAGTAAAATATTTGTGGAGTAAGAAGTTTTCAAAAATGTATAATGGGTTGGATTAGAAGCAGCCTTGGCTGAACCCCGCCCACTTAAAAAAGGGCCAAAGTAAATACATAAATGCGCTATATGTTTGCCTTTACGAATTTACTAGAAGCATCTCATCAAAAAATATCTCAATCAATAAAAAAGTTGACTTGAGATAATAGGAGGACATTACTTCTGACTACGGTCCTTTTGACCAAAACTAAAAACAGTAGGTGCAATATATTTAAATAGCATGATGAGTCTCCGAAGCTGGATCTATTGGATATGCAATTTAACAGAAGCCTTTATTCTCAATAAATTTTTAGTCAGGCTATTACGTGAAATATGCCAAACAGAAAACATATTTTCTATGAAATGGACAAATTTGTCAAAAATGCCCCCTACAAATTAGAAATATGCTAGTCAGTTCGTTCGTTTGCGATTTTTTCGGTTGCATTGTGTGTTGCCTACCTTATATAAACAAGACTGAAAAGCTCAAAATATACTGTATTCAGTTTTAAACATTCAATCATAGATATAACGTATAGGTATCTGTGATTCAATATAAAAACCTCCGTTTTTTCTGTTTACTAATGGATTCCATACTGGAAAATAGGGTATAGGTGCACCTTTATCGCTTATTAAAGTTTTTTTTTAATAAAACGTGGAATGAAATAAAAATGTAGCTATTGTAACATTTCTAATTACCGATCTGTAGTGGGCTTTGAATGGAACTACGCAATAGGAAAAAACTCGAATCAAAATCAAATACCTACATTGGCTTTTGTTTGCATAGTTCCTACTTAAGAGTCGAGAAGCAAGACTGAACAATTCACTATTCCTATTTGACAAATATCTGTTAAAAAGACATACAGAGCTCTAACAAACTTATTACTTTACTAAGAATGTCACTACAAATCTAAGCCTCGCCGGACAACCCCAATGCTACAATTTTCCTTGAAATATGTAGGTATACAGTAACAGTTATCAAAAATAGTTCTTATGTTTATTTTTCTAGCTCTAGGTGTGAATAATTTACAGTCAACCCTATACAAAATATAATTATTTAGCATTCCAGCACTTTAACAACATACATTGAATTAAAAATTCGATTACCTAAACTTTACAACAAAGTATATAATGAAAAACACTAAGAAAGCGAAGAAGAATAAATATATGATGTAATAATTATGTGAGCCCTTCGATAACCGTAGCACCCGATTCATCGTATTTCCTAGAAAACCTCCAGTTCGATCCATGTCGTCGTCCACTTCCCGCAACATTTTATCCTGATATTTAACCTCATTTCCGATGTCTATCGAAAGTGACTTCAGTACGTGAATTTTATCCTTTAACTCATCTGTTAATCTGTCGTTTTCGTCTTCGACTTCATTGGAATGCTGTGGTAAAGGCTCGTAATAATTTCCAGAATGTGCTCTTCTCATTTTCGTAGCCACTTTGAATTAGTAACTAAAAGTTGAGATTAACCAATCTATTTATCGTCGTATTACTCAGTATAGTTTATGGTTTTTACAATCAATTATTTAAATAATTCAATTTTACACAACCACAAAATATTAACAATTTTAAGCTACGTGTATTGTGATGACATTTCTAAATTCGTCGATAAAGTTCATGTTCATCGAATTCGTTAGATTCGTCGACTGTACAGGCAAGGTTGAACATACAGGGTGATCATTTTTGAACATAGAAATAAACAATGTAGTTTGACAGTGTTGATCAAAATTAGGGCCAAACCACCTGCAAATATGACAAATTTGGCTACGCACTCATTTCTATAATAAAATAGCGATGAAGAAGTTTATATTAACATAATGGTAGTGAAATGTTATAGGAGAGGCGCAAGGTGCCTGCACTGTTTTTAGAGCATGAACGCTTCTACCGGTCGTCCCCGATTGTGCATTTTTAGTAGTGCTACGTGTTATTTAATGCAGGTAATAATTTTTGGATTTCTTTATTATTACATTATTGCATTATTTACATTTGTACAATTTTTATAATAATTATGTAATATGTTCAACGTTGAGCGTGAGACATTCGGGAGGATCTCAAATTCTACCGTGTGCCCTATTTTGGTTGAGATAAGATGTGCGCATGCGCAGACTGCGCAATGCCAATTTTCTTATTTATGGAGATATTTATTTGAAATTTTAACCAAAGATGCTTATAATAAAATCACACGTATTGCATATTGTAAATATCAGATTAATAAGCGCATGCGCAGGACGCGCAATATCAACTGCGCAGTAAGTGTCAACTTCCTTATTTATGAAGATATTTCTTTAAAATTTTAACCATATATGCCTCTAGTAATGAAAAACATAGCGCACATAGGTATGGCCTTTGGGGAAGTATTGATCAATTTATGGAAAATGCGCTGAAGTTACTCGCCTTAGAGTGAAAACCTTTTTACTTGTTTTGTCAAACTACCATATACAGAATCAATCTAGCCACGTTTGTTTCAGAGTTACAGGGTGAAGTCGAACAGTTTGACTTTTTGGGATGTTAATTGTTATCATATCCTGCTACCAATCTACGATAAAAAAAAGTTAAAAACCGGCTCGTCACGTGCGAGAGAGCAGTACTACAAGAGAAGCCCAAATCCAATTGCATGAGTGGAAGTACTTTAGAGGGGCATGTTAACATTCTAATTGGACGTAACGCTTTCAATATTCTTGTGATCTGTACCTGTACATTTAGCTAATGGCACATCTTCATGTTGAAATGTGTTTTTTCGCATTTTACGGAACGACACGTCACGTCACCGACCGGTAACGTCACGTAAATCTTGGTGCCAATTCACACTTTACGTCAATAGTTTCTTAGGATGGTTGCGATTAGATTTTTATTCTGGATCATCTGTTCTAATCGTGCCCAGATTAACTAGAAGAAAATTAGCATTAGCGCCACGTCAAAGGAATGCTTGAAACTTATCTCGACGGTTCGTGACGTTGACAGTGCGTTCCGTTACGTCTCTATGTACCTAAATGTTATTATAAGAAATGTATAATACAATATTTTGACGTGACGTTGCCGGTCCGTCACGTGATGTTGACGTCCGTAAAATGCGAACCGACCTTAATGGTCACCTTTATATGTACATTTTGGATATTGCATCATTTTTATACTTTGACGTGACAAGGTATATTGATCCTACAATCAACAATTGTTTAGCTCCAATATGGCGGATTATGATAGTTGTCGCCACTGTCCTGTCGTACAACCCAGCCGAATGCTACCGAGATGAAAGTGGCGCGAAACGTCCGGCAATGAAAATTATATGGCGTTGCTTGTAATTGCAGAGTTGCCAACTGTAAGTATAGGGTAAGTCAACATTTTGATTATCTGTTGGGGAACCCCTAAGAACGTTACAGTATAATGTCTTAATTCAAGCAAAATCTTTAATTATTCACCCATTTCGCTACTCAATAGTCAAAAACATCTATGAAAAATACACTGTAGACTGTACCTACTGTAGCATGCGCGTAGACTTTGTATCTCGTTTGTTGTACTTTTGAAATGGAATATTTGAACATTTGAGTTTTAAATTATATTTTAGCTGGAAAGGTAGTGAATTGCTTGATGTTTGTGCGGAGTTGTCGAAGAAAACTCATAGGCTATGACATGTGTATGTGTATACGAATTACAAAGGCAAGTTTGGCAGCAGTGCCGCCACCGTTATAAAGCCACCTTTGACCTTTGGCTATACTAGATTACTTTTTTTACTGATTGCAGTCTCTCATTGCAACACACATACCCTCACACACGATTGGTTTAATTACAATTTAATATTATACAGTCATTTGGTTCGCAAATTCGATCTGTTATTTAACTTCTTAACCGGAGCACCTGTTTCATCTTGCGTTCCGTTTTGTTTGTATGTATTTGGCATTGTTGTCTAAATCATCTTGTTTTAATTGCTTACTATGGATATCTCTTCCTTCTTTCGTCTTCTTCGTTGCTTTGCGATTGTAAGCTTCGTTGTAAAAACTTCTAAATAGAAATATAAACAAAACGGAATTCAACGCTAACACCCATACGAAGGCATGAGGATAATCGCACTCCATAAATAATACTTGCAATGCGTGTACCAGTATGCAGACGAATTGTACCTTGAAAATGAAAATTATACGGTAGTTATACGATTAAACATTAGAGACACATACTATCTGCAAAGTCGTTATGTATTTTTTCCACCATAGATACTTCTGCATTTGAGGTCCAAGGGCGGAAAGTAAATAATAAGAATACATTATAGTGTGAACAAATGAATTAAGAAAACCGAAGAAAGTGGAATGTCCACCTACAAAGTTCTGATGGGTAATAAAAAGGATCAATGCTATCGTTACAAACCTGGCACTATCTTTACACCTAACCAAGAAAACATGGGCATAATGGTGTGGTGAATGACATGAAGAGTTGATATCTGGTCGAACTTTTTTCTCATAACGAAGAAAATCTGAAACACGTTTGTATATTACAAACCAATCGAAGAAGAAGGATTTCCTTACGGTGTCGAGGAATTCTGTAAACTTGGACATATAGTAATACCAACACAGGTGTGCCATCTAGACAAAGAGCTGAACTTTGTGCATTTTAGTTTGAGACTTACCCAAACGGCAGTAGGGTCATCTGAGTAATCTACAGGTTGACATCTGTAGTTGTAGAGACCCGTTAGCCAACCCGCCATTCCACCCTGAAAGTTAAAAAGCTGAGCTTAGAGATTGAAAACGTCCTCACAAGCGACTTCTTTAAATCACGCGATGGTGTTCAAACGTCGAAATGTTTGATTACAACTTTTTACTTCTTTTTGAATCAAAGTAACATAAATTCCCTAGTGAGTCCAGTGGCCATTAGCAATCTCGTTACCTCTGAAAATAGAAAAAAAATGATACGCACCTGATAAAATAGCCAGAAACTTATAATAACTTGAAATAGATTATAAGCGATTAAAACGTTTTTCAGTTCAAACGGCTTTCTATGTTCCATAAGCTTCGGCCCCCAGACCTGTTGATCAGAATGCGTTAAGCAAACATCTTGTGAACGTAAGCAAAGAATCTACCTTCACCCCGTATGCATATAAACTACATATTGCTAACGTGGGAAATGGGCTGGACATTAAGAACCAATTAGCGACGCGTGGATCTGTAAGTGAAAAAACCGTTAAAGCTCGGTCTAAATAAATTTAGGAATCGGTAACTGTTTGTCGAGTTGCAAAAACTTACCTCCTAATTTATCCACTTGTGCATGGAAATCCTCAACGTATTGTAATAGTAGCGACATGGTTACAGTATCTGTCTACAACAACCCAGTTTGATAGTACTTAACAGTGCCGAAATAGTCTTCTTCACTAGAAATACATAATGTAAAACCAATGAGTTTTCAACGGTGCTGAATGTTTATAGAGCAAAATCGTAGGGTATATTAAGTAGGTACTAGTGCGATCAAAAAAGAGTTTCTGTCACCTTTTGAATTTTTGTGTATATAGGAAATCATACTTTAGCTTGAACTTCCAACGGCGACTCGACATCAATCCTTTTTTGATCGCCCATTATAAAGGTCAAAGTAAAACCCCTAAAGTCCTTTGAAGTTTCACACTACCAACTTACGTTTAAAAATGGAAGAGGGTGATCTTTAGTTCACTACCACATCGTGTAGATAATTAAAGCTTATTAGTTACTTACTTATATAGTTTCAGTGACATGCTAAAATTAAAGCGGGAGGTTAAGAATGCTGAGCCAACATGTCAATGCGATATAGAAAATTAGAATACAATTGGTTATATGAATATTGTAAACATAGGAACAATTACAACAAGTTGAAAAGTAATTGTAAACGATTTACAAAAAGCGCATTTCCACTTGCATTCATTTCCCATTTGTAAGATGCAACTTCTGTTAAAATCGTAAAAATCCGGCCACAAATATGAAAGATAGCGTTGCAAATGTGCAATCCATTTTTGACGTGCTACTTCAAAGTTCAATTTCAGTTTATAAGAAGAATTTCATTTCAATGCTTTTCTAAATAAGAAAGTTAGAACTGCGCATGCGCAAACCTAAATTTTGAAACTAATGTTAGATTTTCCTTTGTTCCAAGCGTCTATGTATCAAATTCTGTTTAAATTCTTCCATAAATAAAAAAGTTGACACTGCGCATGCGCAAAATTAAATTTTGAAACTAGCGTTAGATTTTCCTTTATTCCAAGTGCCTATGTATCAAATTTCATTCAAATACTTTTATAAATAAAAAAGTTTGCAATTCGGTTTATAAATGGTCGAGATGCGAAATGGGCACTGTGATTTTTGAATCGATTCGACTCAACTTTTGGCATTGCGTATTATATGGCTAAAGCTATGCCCATATTGAATTTCATGCAATTCGCAGTTCATAACTAACGGAAACGTCAAAGCGATCGGACATTTCTAAACAAAGTTATCGTTCACACGGACAGATAGAGAGACAGACAAAGGAACAGACGGACAGACCAACAGACAGACGACAGACAGCAATACAAAATTATAAACGATCTCTAGGATCGTTAATAAACGGCAAAAGTGTAAAATTATGGAACATGTAAAAAACGGTGTTTTGGTTTTTTTACAATAACTTTTTTAGCAATAAACGCAGAAAAAAATCCTTCCTTGGTGCAAGCCTCGACACCATAACGAACCAAATAGTGAAAAAAGTAGAACAATAGCTCTTAAGATAAAGAACTAGTAGCGTCTAAACGAACGAGCGGACGGACGGACAAAGTGGCCACAATAGCGCATTTTTTATTTTTGTGGAAATGCGCTAAAAATGCAAACTCATACAAAAATAGTCGGCGTTGTGGTCACGTTCGGCTTAGTGTCCCTTGCACACGTGTCGGCGATGTGGGCACGGTCGGCGTAGTGTCCCTAGTCGGCGATATGGACCATCAAAAAATCGTGTCGGCGTTGAGGGCATTCGGCGAAGTGTTCTAGACCCCCATGGGCATGAGGAAGCCGGGGAATGTTTTAGAATTTTAGCTCCGATAATTTATTATTAACCGATTTTAGTTTCCCAATGTTAAGCGAAAGCGAGCTTTAAAACTTTCAAGGGCGTGCAGTTAATTTTATTACCATACACCTTTTGCGACTGGCCCGACTACCGAATATGGAAATTTAATCCGTCCAATTAAGTGAGTATAATTAATTGCAGTTAATTAATTGTGTTGCAGTAACTTTGCCTGATTAGATTAGGTCTAGTATCAAAAGAAACACGTTTAAACACGTAGGTATGTCCGGTTTCACAAATTATGATTAACGTTAATCATTGATTAAGGGCCAATTGCACCGTCAAAATTAAGTATCCCTTAAAGTTAAGCATAACTTAAATACCATAGCAACCATTGTCTTAATAATCGTTGTCATAGAATTTAAAAGGCTTAATTTTGTTGGTGCAACTGGGCGCTAAAAGAGTATTAGAATAGAAAATATCATACCTTATAATCAAAGGTGGCTAACATTCTAATATTTTTAATCAATTATTAACCTTAATCATCGTTTGGACGTCAGGGAGCCTGTTCGCCGAGTTCGCGGGCCGGCCGGAATTTCCGATGTTCGCTGGCCGTATTTTGGGAAGTTTATATAAGGGAAACTTTTCTTTCTTTCAGAAATTTTGGTTTAATTTTCATTTCATGTGTTTAAATTTTTGTCATTTTTAATCAATTAAGTGTGTGTTTTTTCGAACCCATTGCACGATCCGGATAGTGTTCATCTAAGATTTTTCTGTTCGCATCCAACATTTATTTCAATTGTTGAATAAAATTTGCGTAATAAATTATTTGGAGTTTTCGGAAGTTGATCGCGGACACCGAGTCTCTTAAATTATTAATTTAACTCAATGTTGGGTTTTTAACCGGGCGGATAGTTCTGTACTAGGTTCTGTATCTCTCTACAGAAACATTAATTGTAAGATGTTGTTCAAAAAAGAATATTTAGAAAGCAATGCCAGTTCATTTTTCAATTTCAATTTTTGGAGTTTGTTTATTTTAGGACATTGAGCGACGTCCTTTATATTTTCTCAAACTCGCGGAAGCCATGATCTCTAATATTTTCCATGCAGTTGGAGGTAGATACACACTCAAACCACAAAAAAATAATCGCGTACCGCATACATTTGCTAAAGTTTCATACTGCATTCCACATTTCCACGTGTAACCAGGAATTAAAAAAAGTGCGACATTCAATATCAAAATACCTACCTTCGTATCTTACTAGAGGTAACCGCTATAAATCATGCTCAATCCTTATTTGGCTGCTCCAAATAGCTAAAAGAACTAACGGGCGGCGACCGCAAACGCATTCGTAGTTTACTTATCCAATTATGGAAATTCATAGCAATGCCTGTGTGTACGGAAAACATTTATTCTAAAAGAGTACGCAGCACACGTGTTTTATGATCGCTTTGATGTACCTACGTTCATTTTGTAGCGGTTACATGCGCAGGTCATCCGGTCACATCTTTCAATTCTTTATAGAATTTGTAGATTCTTCATTCGCGTTGAGGTTGATGTTGGAATATTAATTGTGAGAAAATTTTTATCAAAGTAGGTAATCCTACCTTCATCTCTAGAAACGTGGTGGTATGATTTACAGGATGGTTTATTAGACGTTATTGATCATACCCTTTTAGTTCATTTCAGTTCAGTTTCAGGGCCTTATCTACATTTTGATTAAAAAAGAGTTTACAATAAAGGGCCGTGAATGTTGCTGCAACGGGTGATATTGTGCCATGAGTTTTGTTTTTATTCTTCTTAGCACATGTAATTAATCATAAAGCGTTCTGTCACCACATCCCATACAAATCTGAACAAATTTAAACGTTTTTAATTAATTACGTCCTTCCCAAACGTCTTAAAAATACGGGACCGGTGTCAAAATTCAAGTTAATTAAGAGCGCTTCTTTTGAAATAAGACCGAGCTCAATCGGAATCGTCCAAACTGGAAGTAACTGTTGGGGCTGAGAAAATCCCTGAGCGGCGGTAATGTAAGAAACAGTCGACGGATAAACCGGGTGTCTCATAATTTATTTATTTATTTATTTTGCCTTTATTTTTGAGTGGGCGGGGTTTCAGCCAAGGCTGCTCTACCAACCCAACCCACTATACATTTACAAATATCCATGCCCGAACCCGGATTCGAACCAGGGACCCTAGCACCACAGTCCAGCTTCAACTGAACTGCGCCACACGGGCCGGCATAATCGGGGTTGGGTAACAAGAACGTTGGCGGGGTATCGGGGTAAAAGCAATAGTCGGAAGCAAAATTAACGGCTGCGCCTCAGGTCGCCTACCCAGATGACTCTGACGTCAGTAGCAAAAACAGCGGTAACGTAACGAGGTGCCAAACTTAAAACGCTTCTAAATACCGGGTGTTCAGCAGAGCTGGTCGACTTCACAAATATACGGTGTGGTCATACCTTCGGGTATGAAACTTCAAGGCGGAAAATGAGGTCTTATGATCTTTGTCGGGAGACAGCCACACACCAGCAGAGGTTGTGTTCCGCTGTCTCTTCCTCCTCGAAGCAGAGGCGACATGTGTTTTTCTCAGCTACCCCGATTTTGTTGAGATGATGTCTCAGGGGGCAGTGTCTAGTGAGCAGGCCTATATATATCCTTAGTTCTGCTGAGTGCTAGCAACGAGCTGGTATTAGTCTCCTAGAAACTGTTTAGTTTCTTGCATTGTCTTAATCCAGGGGAAGATTCCCATAGACGCTTCTTTATCACTCCCTCAGCTAGACTTGCTGGTGCCTCACAATAAGGTTCCGCTTCGGTTTGGGGATGTTTGGTACCCGGCTCTTCTCTCATGGATTAGTACCCATACTAACGTAACACGATTACGCCTAGCGATTTATTTCAGTTTTGTGGTGCATTTCATGAGCAGAAGGTTGCTAGAGCATTAAGAACTGTCTGACCTCGGCTTGAAATACTGTAGGAGTGGTTCCTAACACGATTAAGAGAGCGTAATTTGGCCCTCTTATGCTCATTCCCACCCCTTTTTTCGACTTAGAGCCATCTGCGTACCAGTATAAGGCTCCTTCCGCAAATTCTCGACTGTTTATAATAACTTCTTTGTCCCGGATCACCACTTTAACAAGTCAGTTCAGACAGAATCGTTCTCAAGATGCTCTTTTTGCCTTCCGAATCATCTTGGGACACTCAGTGAGGGACGCTCTATATTCATCCCAGCACTCAGCGCGCTTGGCTTTGTTAAAAATCCGCCCGGCTTTGGTGACTTTTCTGAGCTATCCTAGCTCATTCCCCCCAGGAAGTATTTCTATTTGTTTTAAACTACTTCAGCGGACAGCTTTCTTCGAAGGAGGCGAGAAAAGCTTCAGTGAGCAGTGTGACAAGTAGTTCTTGATGTTACCTAACCCTTCGTTCTATTCTAGCTGCGGGAGTATTTGAAGGTCAAGAGATTGGTGATTCTTACTTTCGTTGTGAAGAAATCTTTTCTAATTAAGGTCATCTACCGGATTTACCTGTATTGGATACTATCTGTAGCAAACAGAAAGGCATTTTTGGTATATTTATCCGTTTATTCAGGATCTAGAGGATTAGATATTGGTCCATGATCAAAGCTTTGTCCTACAATTAACTCTTTTTAATTAATCTTTGTGAATTTCTTCGAAGATGTTAATTCTTGTAATTCCGTACTTTCTTTGCTGCTTTGCTTGG